TACAGCCAGCATTGGAGACATATGCCTTTAAGACCTAGGGGGCTGTACATTCAGACAGTGACGAGGCAGTCACGTGTTTGGGTTTACAACCAATGAGAAGGCAGAATGACTGGGAAATCGACTTACACACAGGAAATAGCTCTCTTTTGGGAAGCTGCGACAGAGGAGGAAGGGTGAGATTTTAGCTCTGAGCTCTGACCTCTCGGCTTTCTCTTTTACATTGTTTCTGTGTTTCTTATTTAATAAGATAGTTGGTTACATCAACATGATGTAGCTGGGTGGGGAAAGGAAGTAAGATGGCAGGGCACAGAAAGGTATATAGGTGTGAGTATACAAGAAGTAGCTCTGGAGGCTCAGGAGTTGGTAAGGTGAGGTTGGATGTGGCTTGTTCTGTTTCTCTGATCTTTCAGCATTGACCCCAATATCTGGCTCTGGGTTTATTAATAAGACCATTTAGCCATTTGTGTTACACTATGGGAACACATACACATCTATTTCCACATTGCACAGATGACCCACAGCAATCTGTATCTTATGTCCACCTATGCTTCTACATAACAGAAGCATGATCATACAGTGTCTTGCAAGGTGACAGACACCTTCTCTCCAGTCTTTTTGGTGGAAACCATAAAATGTTCGATATTACCCATTACTGAATTTTCTACTAGACAAATCTCTTCACAATGATGAACTAGGAACATAGCAAACTCTCCCAAAGGGATCATTCACATGACAATATTCCAGACAGGTGTTATTAAATAGGAGGAATTTTCCAGATGAAACCATAACAATATATTTTAGAATCCAGCAAAATACCAAATTCAAATGATAATAGAAACATAAATGGAGAATAATCAATGTAAATTTATGATCTTGAAAAAATATTTTCTTTTTATATTACAATTATCATCATCAGGGCCAGAGAGATGGCTCAGCAGGTAAGAGCACTTGCTGTATTTTCTTGCAAAGGACTCATGTTCAGTCTCCATCATCCAAAGGGTGGTTCACAACTATCTTAACTCCAGTGCCTGGGGGATATCATGTCCTCTTCTGGGCACCTCAGGCACCAGGCACACAGCAAATGCACTAACATATGTGCAGGCAAGACACACATACACATAAAAAAGACTTAAAACATGAAAATATTTACTGTTAATCTTCACTTACTGCTTTATGTTGGTTTAGGGTTTATTCTGTTTCTTCTGTAGGTTCTTTAATGCTTAACTTTTTCAACTTTGTCAATTGCATACATGCTAGGGACAGGTGCAAGTACTTGTGACTAAAGTGTCAACAAAATCAAGGTTCCAGTCAAGTCTTGGCTTCCTGCTTCAACTGAATGGTACCAACTTTGTGCCGAGCCCAGCAATGGTTATACCACACGACTTGAATTATGTTAATATTATTATGCTATTCATTCAGATTGATTTCAATTTTTATTTATAATTTACCCATGGTTAGAATATCCATATCTATAAATACTTGGAAGTAATAGTCTCTCCACTAATTACTTACCCACAACAAACTAGACCATTGGAAGCTCTGGAAGCCATCATCTTACCCAAATGACCAAGCTTAATTTCATTAATAATACAACAGCTAACACCTAAGTGTTTCTGGACATGTTGCAACATGATATATAATCTGCAATGTGTTCTTACCCAAAATGTTTCATCTGAACCTAACTTCTCTTAGATAGAAGATGCAATGGCTAAGGACTGGGAATGTAGCCTGGTGACTGAGCACATCTGTACAATGCACAGGGCACTGGGATCAATCAGCACTGAAAATTTAATAAAGAACAGAGCAAGGCTGAATCATATATATTAGATTTTCCTTAGGATACACACATTTGTAAAAAGGACAGTTTGAAGACCAATGACAAATTTCTGAATGTTGTAAAATTCTGGATCATTTCCTCAGAATTATGGTATCATGGATAGTTGAGATTCCATCTTCGCTGATGTAGTAAGGGGTAAAATGTCATGTCTTCAGCTTTTTATTTTTATTTTATTTTATTTTTTACTTCTTTTGAAAAAGGGTCTATGTACAGCCAAAAGTGGACGTGAAGTCACTATGTAGCTAGGCTTGCCTCCAACTCTTGATCCTCCTGTCTCAGCTTTCCAATTACTGGGATTCACTCATATAGTATACTATGCCCAATGCTAAAACATATTCTTATTGATATAGCCCCAAATACCCATGTATACAGAAAAACTGGATCAACATTGTAAATTGTTAACAATTTTGAAGCTAGGTGAGGATACAGAAGTGTGTTGTTGACTAGTCTAACTTTTCCATAAGTATGAAAAAATTCACACATCTATTTTTATAAGTGGTTTCAATTTGTCTATCGTTAATGTGTTATGACAAAATCACCAGAGAACACCACTCAGATACAGTTTATAATTAAAGTCCTTATTCCAGTTGGCTGGGACTACACTCATGTATTCAGGACTTAAGTGTAGCCTCAAGCTTTTAGAGCAAGGTGCTTTAAAAGCAAAAACTAATTAGCTTGCTCAGCAGCTGCAGGGGGAGCTTTTACTCAAGCAGGCAGTTTAACAGAAGCCAAGAAAAGCAGTTATCTGGAGATGTTTGTACATAAAGGCAGTTTAACAGGAGCCATATTAAATTATCAGGGACATCTTGACCTCAGGTTCCTAGAATAGAGTTGGGTAATTTTCCACAAGATTCTCTATCAGAAGTCAAATTCTAGTCAAGCCAAAAATGGCCTTGGAAAGAACAGATGGAGGAGATTCTATAATGTCTTGCCTTGTCGCAAATGATTAGTTTATCTTAATGTCTGGGCAGAGGGCATAAATTATAGGTTTACCTTTTGAATTTTATGGGTTTAATCATTTTAAAAAAGTACTTATTCATCTGAGTTTTTAACATCTCCACACAATAAACTTAAGGAATGGATTCTGAATGAAAATCCTTTTAAGTACTTCTCATTTGATTGTATACAGAATGAAATTATTTAAAATTTAATAGTGGATGAACACATGAGGTTATTCCAAACTATCTGCAATACAATTTGCTATTCATATTGGTTACAGTAATGCTAATAAAAGCGAAAACAAAGTAAAAGATATTTTAAAGAACACAGGTATGGACCAAATACTTTCTCAAGAATTTTACTATATATTACAACTCTGTGCCCACAGCTTTGGCTTATATTGTGCTGGTGATTAATGAATTACCCAAAAAGAAAGTAAGCAAACAGTCTAATGTCACAGGATCCATGGGATAAAAAAAATAGTAAAATGGAAGGTTCCTTGTTCTAAGTTGACTGTACTGAGTAAGTAGTGCTTGAGGAATTATGTTTATAGAATCAACAAGATGAGAGTAAATGAAGAACATGATGGCTACCCAATTATTTCTGACATTCATAAAAATTGCCAAGAGAGTATCACCTATGAATAATAGACTTCTCATATTCTCATTCCCAGAGGATGTAATGGCTGCTTTTGTGTGTCAACTTGAGACAAGCTGGAGTTATTGGAGAGGAAGTAGCCTTGTTTGAGGAAATGCCTCCATGAGATCCAGCTGGAAGGCATTCTCTCAATTAGTGATTAATGAGGAGGGCCCTGTTGTGGAATATTATTTTAATGAGGTAAAGATGTGTTACATTTTTAAACTGGGGATTATTGCTTTAACTGTGTAAAGGTGTGTTATATTTGTTTGTGCTGCATTTATTTAACAATGTATGGATATGTGTTATATACAGATGTGTTGCATCTGTTTCACCTTGCCTAAGGAACCTAACTGGTCTAATAAAAAGCTGAACAGCCAATAGCTAGGCAGGAAAGGGACAGACAGGGCTGGCATGCAGAGAGATTAAATAGGAGGAGAAATCTAGGCTCTAGAGAAGAGAGGAACAAGAGGAAGAAGAGAGGAGAGAATGAGGGGGAGAATGGGGCAAGAAGCCAGGTGGCCTCCAGCCAGCCAAACAGAGACAGCAGGATATGAACAAAGTAAAAGAGGTAAAAAGCCCCAAGGCAAAACATAGATGAAGAGAAATAGGTTAGGGTATAAGAGCTAGCAAAAGAGTTCTAGGCTAAGGGTGAGAATTCAATACTAATAAGTCTCAGTGTCATAATTTGGGAGCTGGTTGATGGCCCAAAAGAAAAAGCCTGGTACAAGGTCTAGCCCATGGTAGGTGGTACCACCTCTGGGATGGTGTTTGGAGGTTATATAAGAGAGCAGGCTGAGCAAGCCAAGGGAAGCAAGCCAGTAAGCAGCTCCCCTCCATGGCCTCTGCATCAGCTCCTGCCTCCAGGATCCTGACCTGTTTAGTTCCTGTGCTGACTTCCTTGAGTGACAAACAGCAATATGGAAGTGTAAGCCAAATAAACCCTTTCCTTCCCAACTTGCTTTTTGGTCTTGGAGTTTCATTGCAGCAATAGAAACCCTAAGACAAAGGGGTTCTTGGCATGAAGAGTATATGAATACTCTGATGGTGACCAAATACTAGATACTAGAGCAGATTAAAGTTTTTCCCAAATTCTTTTCAGCCACAATCTTGCCAAAATGAGTTCCCTGATGGTCACTAAAATTTTCATACAAAGGCTTATCCACTTGCCTAACATGTACAGGACTCCTGATGATCATGGATTTTCTGATGTTGTGTAAGTTCATCATTTACAATAAATGCTTTCCCATATGTTTTACATTCATAGGGTTTCAGACTTATATGGACTCTGTGAAGAACTTTAAGAGCTTGGCTAATTCTAAAAGTGTTCCCTCATTCCTTGCATTCATAGGGTTTCACCTAAGCATGGATTCCTTTATTTTGAAGGCCTGAGTTCTAATTGAAGGTATTTTCTCATTCTTTACATTGATAGGGTGTCACACCAGTATGAATTCTCTGTTATTCAGTGAAGGCTGAACTAAATCTAAACATTTCCCCACATTTCTTACATTCAATATGGTTTCTCACCAATACAAATTCTGATATGCAGCTAGCTGAACATTATTGCTAAAGGAATTTCCACATTCCTTACTTCCATAAGACTTCTTTCCAATATGAATTTTAGTGTGTCCAAGTTTGATTTTTGACTAAAGGACTTCCCACATTCTTAACATTGATAAAGTTTCTCATCAGTGTGAATTCTTTGATGTACTTTAAGGTCTCTACCACAAGTAAAGCACTTCCCACATTCTTTACATTCATAAGGATTCTTGCCAGTATGAATTCTAAAATGTCCAAGAAATTGGTAATGATATTGAAAGCCTTCTCCACATTCCTTACATTGAAAGGGCTTCTCACCAGTATGGATTCTCTGGTGAATTTTAAGGAATGTACCACGAACAAAACCTTTTCCACATTCCTTGCACTGATAGGGTTTCACATCAGTATGAATTTTCTGATGTTGATTGAGTAGGGACTTAAGTCTGAAGGCTGACCCACACTGCTCACATTCAAATGATTTCTTTCCAGTATGAATGCTCTGGTGCCGAGTGAGCTGTGCAAGAACAATAAAGGCCTTTCCACATTCCTTGCATTGAAAGGGTCTTTCACCAGAATGAATTTTCTGATGTTGCTTGAGGTTTGAGCGATGATTAAAGGCTTTCCCACACTCATTACATTCATATGGTTTCACACCAGCATGAATAATTCTATGACCAACAAGACTGGAGACATGCTTGAACGACTTCCCACACTCCTTGCAAGCAAATGGTTTTTGATTTGTATGAATGCTTTTATGGTAATTAAGCTGGCTGGAAAGATGAAAAGCCTTTCCACATTCTTTGCATTCAAAAGGTCTCTCGCCACTATGAAATTTCTGATGTCGTATGAGGTGTATATTAAGTCTAAAGACTTTTCCACATTCCTTACAACCAAAGGGTTTCTTTCCAGTGTGAATACTCTGATGATCAGTAAAACCTGAACGCCGACGAAAGGATTTCCCACATTCCTTGCACTGATAAGGTTTCACATCGGTATGAGTTCTCTGATGCTCACTAAGTTGGTCCTTACGTCGGAAAGCTGACCCACACAGCTTGCACTTGAAAGGTTTCTCATCAGTGTGAGTTTTCTTATGCTCAGAAAGGTATGACTGAAGCCTAAAAGCCTTTCCACATACTTTACACTCAAAGGGTTTCTCACCAGTATGAATACTCTGGTGCCGCAAAAGGAATGAACCAAAACTGAATATCTTCCCACACTCCTTACATTCAAATGATCTCTCTCCACTATGAATATTCTGATGCCGAGTGAGCTGTGCCAGAAAAGTGAAGGCTTTTCCACATTCCTTACACTGAAAGGGTCTCTCACCAGAATGAATTTTCTGATGCTGTGTAACATATGAGCGACGTTTAAAGGCTTTTCCACACTCATTACATTCATATGGTTTCACACCAGCATGAACACTCCTATGTTCAACAAGGTGGAAGACACGCTTGAAGGACTTCCCACATTCCTCACATTCAAATGGTTTTATACCTGTATGAATGGTTTTATGGTACTTAAGCAGGTTGGGACGATGAAATGCCTTTCCGCATTCATCACATTCATAAGGCCTCTCACCACTGTGAGATTTCTGATGTCTTGTAAGCTGTTGTTGGAGTCTGAAGGCCTTCCCACAATCCTTGCATTCATAGGCTTTCTCTCCAATATGAATAGTCTGATGCTGAAAAAGAGTTGAACTACAATCAAAGTACTTCCCACACTCTTTACATTTTCATATGCTTTTTCTATATTGTGAGTAACAGTTTGGCTGGCAAAAGTAGGTATTTTTTCCTTCTTGGTAATCTTTTGATCATCATTTCCTTCTTGACAACTCTGTAGTTCCTTGAATGTTCTATAGTTGGGGGCATTACTAAAACTGGAGCCCTGGAGGTCAAAAGTTTTACTTACATGATTTATGCTCTCTTTGGGTAAATTTATATTATAAGTATGATTGTCTGGAGATAATTTTTGAGCTTCATAATTTGACTCCAAATCTGAAAGAAAAGGAGAAAGCAAGATTATTTTATTTCCCTGTGACACACACAGACAAAATCCATTCAATCAATGGCCCAACTCTAAAGTATTTTCTGAGAAACTGAACAGGAGCAAGAAGAGCAGCAATAATGAAAGTTTATGTAAGACAACACTCTTTTGGGAAGGCACATCTGCTTAATGAGATTAAAACAAACTAAACTGAAATAATATTATGTGCTTTTTTACATACTACTTGAAATACACATCCTTTGGTGCAAGTTTTTGAACCAAATCATGAGGGAAAAAAAAAATCAATGCACAGAAATACATAATAGGTGTCACACTTTAAGAAAACTAACCTGGAGTTGAAATTCTGAAAAATAAAACAGGGTAAAAATCTGTGGTGGTGGAAGTGCACAATTGTAATCCCATCAAGAAGGAGCCAGACATAACAGGGTCCTGAGTTCTAAGCCAGCTTGGACTAAATAATGAGACTCTAAAAAAAAAAAGCTAAAAAGAAAATGGAAAGAAAGAGGAGAGATACCTGGTGGTGGTGCACTGCAGAATATTCCTTTACACTAGGTGAGTATATGCTACCGTGACTGGTTTAATAAAGAAACTGACTGACCAATAGCTGGACAGGGTAAGGTTAGGCAGGAGAATGAGACTAGGAAAATTCTAGAAAGAAAGATGGAGTCAGAGGAGTCACCAGCCAGACACAGAGGAAGCAGGACATGTATGAAATGAGGTAACAAGCCATGAGCCATGTGGTAGAACTTAGATAAGAAATATGGGTTAAGTTGTAAGATCTAGTTAGTAATTATTGCTTGGATTCTAACAGCTTCCTTGGGGGAGGGGGTGAGAAGGTGCATCATCAATGGCACAGATACCAGGAGCTCATTGAAGGCAAATAATGAGCTCAGTTATTCAATAACAGGGAAGGCCTTATATACCCTCCTCCCAGCACCCAGTTTGTGTGGCCATCCCTCATTGACTGGACATGATCAGGAACTCTGACAGCACCTGTTGTTAGGCCTTTAGGCAGACTCTGCACAATCAGGAACTCTGACAGTGACCAGGAACTCTGACAGTGACCAGGACCTCTGACAGTGACCATGAACTTTGACAGCTCCTGTTGCTAGGCCCTCAGGCAAATTCCAGGTTGGCTCATAAGGAGTACATTATGAGCATGCCTTGGCAACTGGTCTGAGTCAATTTCCTCAACTCTATGGGCCTGTCCTACTACAAGTAATAAGCTTGAGCTATCGACTGAGCATTTATAATTTATATTAAATCTTCCTGTCAGTCATTTGGAAACTGGCAGATGGGAAAGAAAGGTCCGCCTACAGTGCACACCTTTAATCGCAGCACTTCTGAGCCAGAGACAGGTAGATCTCTGAGTTTGAGGCCAACCTGGTCTACAGAGTGAGTTCCAGGCCAGCCAGAGCTACATAAACTGTCTTAAAAAAACAAATAGACAAAGAACACCAACAAAAAAGGTGAGGGAGAGAATTCATTAGAATTTTTAAGAACACTAAGGATCACCAGCCAGGGAAGCAGGTAGGCTACCTGCAGCTCTTTACCAATTCCTCCTCTCCTCCAAATCCAATCCCACAATCTCATCCCTAGCTCTGTAGCAGATTGCCTATTTTGGCTTCCCCTTTATCTCTGCCCTGGTCTCCAATCACACAGATCTACACCTCCAAACTCCCTTCTTCTGACTCAGACATTCTACCATAACACCAAATTTCAGCAGTATCTATATACAAATACAGCCTTTATGAAGGCACTAGAAGGTTAACCACACCCAAGAAGACAGAATAATCTCAGACCACCATATCAAAAGACAGGAAACACACACACCACCCCAACAAAACAACAGGAATTAACAAACACTTCCCATTCATATATCTCAAACATCAATGGTTTCAATTCCCCAGTTAAAAAGATACAAACTAATAGAATGTTTATGAAAACAGGAGCCATCTTTCTGCTGCATCCAATAAATACACCATAATACCAAGAATAGACATCACCTCATGGTAAAAGAATGGAAAATGATCTTCAAATTCCAAGCAAATAGGGCTGATGTAAACATTTTAATATGTGTGCACCAAACATAGAACACCCAATTTAGTAAATAAACAACACTACAGCTTAAATCACATATTCACCTTCACATACTGATAGTGGGAGACTGCAATATCCCACTCTCACCAATAGACAGGTCATCTAGATAAAAACTAAACAGAGAAATGCTGGAGCTAACTGACATTATAAATCAAATGGACCTAACAGATATTTACAGAACACTGCATCCAAACCCAAAAGAATATACCTTCTTCTCAACACCTCATTGAACTTTGTCCAAAACTGATCACATACTTGGACACAAAGCAAGTCTCAACAGATAGGAGTAAATTCAAATAACACCTTGCATCTATCTAATGACAACATATTAAAGCTTGAAATTAACAGACACAAACAAAACCCTACAAACTCACTGAAGCAGAATAACACACTACTGAAGGAAACATGGGTCAAGACAGAAATTAAGAAAGAAATTAAAGACTTCCTAGAATTGAATGAAAATAAAGACGTAACATACACAAACTCTAAGACACAATGAAGGTGGATCTAAGAGGAAAGTTCATAGCACTATGTAACTATGTAAAAAAAAAAAAAAAAAAAACTGGAGAGATCTCATACTAGCAAAATAATGCCATACCTGAAGGCTCTACAACAAGACAAAAATTACACCCAAAAGGAGTAGATGCCAAAAAATAAACTCAGGGTTGAAATCTATAAAATAGAAACAACAATAAGAAAATACAAAGAATCAATGAAACAAACAGTTGGTTCTTTGGGACAATCAGTAAGACTGACAAACCTTTAGCTAGATTACCTGAAGGGCAGAGAGAGAGGATCCAAATGAAAACATTAGAGATGAAAAAGGGATGTGATAACAGACACAGAGGAAAGCCAAGCAAAATAGAGCTTGGATTCATAAGGACACACTTTAAAAGCCTGTGCGCCAACAAATTGGAAAATCTAAAAGAAATGGGTGATTTTCTTTTGCAATACATATCACTTACCAAAGGTAAATCAAGATCAGACAAGCAATTCAAACAGACCAAGAACCCCTAGTGAAATAGAATCAGTAATTAAGTCTCCCAACCAAAAATAAAAAAAAATAAGTAAATAAAAAGCCCAAGCCAGATGGTTTTAGAGCAGAATTCTACCAGACTTTCAAAGAAGAGTTCGTGTCAATATCCTCAAATTATTCCTCAAAATAGAAACAGAAAGAACACTGCCCAATTCTTTTTATGAGGCTAGTCACCCTCATACCCAAAACACATAAAGACCCAACAAAGAGAACTACAGACCAATTTCCCTGATGAAAATAGATGTAAATATTCTCAATAAAATATTTGGAAACCAAATCCAAGGAAACATCAAAAAAGATCATCCACCATGATCAATAGGCTTTATCCCAGAGATGCTTCAATGGTTCAACATATATAAATCAATAAATGCAATCCATCATATAAACAAAATGAAAGAAAGAAGCCACAGGATCATCCATCTCATTATCTGCAGAAAAGGCCTCTGACAAAATTCGACACTGATTCATGGTAACAGTCCTGGAGATATTATGGATAAAAGGGACATACCTCAACATAATAAAGACACTGTACAGCAAGCCAATAGCCAACATCAACTTAAATACAGAGAACCTGAAAGCAATTACACTAAAATCCAGAATAAGACAAGGCTGTCCATTCTCTCCATGCCGATTCAATAGAGTACTTGAAGTCTTAGCTAGAGCAATAAGACACTAAGGAGACCAAGGGCATACAAATTGGAAAGGTCAAAGTATTTTTATTTGCAGATGATATGACAGTATACATAAGTGATCCTGAAGATTCCACTGGGGGAACTCCTACAGCTCATAAACACATTCAGCAAAGAAGATGGATACAAAATTAAATCACAACAATCAGTAACCCTCCTGTGTACAAATGACAAATGGACTGAGAAAGAAGAAATCGGGGAAACAACACATTTTACAATAGCCTCAACTAATATAAAATATCTTGAGGTAACTTTAACCAAGCAAGTGAAATATTTGTATGATAAAAAGGGCAAGATACTGAAGAAAGAAATTGAAGAATGTATCTGAAGATGGAAAGATCTTCCATGCTCGAGGATTGGTAGAATTAATATAGTAAACTTGGCCAGCCTACCAAGAGCAATCTTCAGATACAATGCAATCTCCATTAAGATTCCAACACAATTCTTTACAGATCTTGAAAGGCCAACTTTCATCTTCATACGCAAACACAAAAACCCCAGGAAAACTAAAACAATCCTGAATAGTAAGAGAACTGAAGGAGGTATCACCATCCCCAATCTCAAGTTGTACTACAGAGCTATAGTAATAAAACCAGTATAGTACTGGCAGAAAAACAGACACATTGATTAAGGGAATTGAATTGAAGACCCAACCATAAATCAACACATGTATGGACACCTAACTGTTGGTAAAGAAGCCAAAATGCACATTAGAAAAAAGACAGCATCTTCAAAAACAAAAACAGTGCCAGTCAAAAAGAATGGCTGTATGTACAAGAATCCAAATAGATCCATACTTAACACCGTGCACAAAACTCAACTCCAAATGCATCAAAGACCTTAACATGAAACCAGATACAATGAACCTGATAGAAAAGAAAGTAGGGTATGGCCTTGAACTCAGCACAGGAAAAGAGTTACTGAACAGAACACACACAGGCACAAAGACCAACAATTAATAAATGGAGCCTTATGAAACTGTAAAGCTTCTGCACATCAAAGGATACTGTCACTTGGATAAGGCGGCAGCCTACATAACAGGAAAAGATTTTATCAACCACAAACCTGATAATGGGCTAACATCCAAAATAGATAAAGAACTCAAAAAACTAGGTATCATGAAAACAAGCAACCCAATTAAAAATGGGGTAAAGATCAAGAAAGA